GTAGATGTAGAACAACGTGACGGGTGTAAGCAATAGGGTGAATGCAAATATAAATATAAACTGTACCGGCACCCAAAATGAGTACCGGAATTTATTTCAGTCCAAGTCCAGCACTGGCTTGGATGTCACTGCTCCCTGTGTAGCCCACAGTGTGCTTACGGCTGGGACAGGGTCCTCCCACTTGACTTCAAAACTGTGGATTTGTACAATCAAACACAGAGATCCTTTGCGGTGAGGACCCATGCGGTGCGCAATGTTTATCAGCGGCATGGAACCCTGCCCAAACAGTTCACAGAAAATATTGCTCATGAAGGATGTTGGGTTGCCTGCTTGTACACCAGTTTCAAGTCCTGTGACCCGCACAATGAATTTACGGGAACGATTTTCAAGAGATTCTGTTTTATTTTTTATGAGATTGATTTCCCCTTCTAGCTTAGCCCTTTCCAGCCAGAGCGTTCAAATTTAGGAATAATAGTTATGATGGTTTAAAGGTGCAATATGCAGAAATCGATCTGCCATTTCCTGATTGCAAAAATTCTAATAGTTCGCTTAATTTCAGTTTGTGAAAAAACGAGCAATGTAGTGTATAGAATCAATGTACCATCTAAACCTCTGTGAAATATATTTTCAGTTACTAAAAATATTGTATTTTGAGCTGTTTGAAGCTGTTGTACAAAACCGAAGGTAAAAGACGCAGACAAAACGTAAAAACGGGAAGCATAGAAATCGCGCACATAGAACAGATCTACCACGTCTTAGACTTGCTTTCAATAAGTGACAGATCTATAAGTAACATTTCTATGTGAATTTGGTTGGGTCACCCAAAAAGGTACATCATGCAGCTTTAAAGCCTTAATAACACTGCCATCAAATCACCAATTTTATTTCTGAAAACGGACATTTACACATGACAACATGAGCTACAAATATATTTTTTTTCCCGCTTTATGGGTGGGATTTTTTTTTTTACTTCAATGAAATGTCATGGAGCAAATCCACCCTTTGCCTCAGTGCCCCGATTGATGACTAGAACGAGAGTGGATCTCGAGTGCTATTTTCACAGCTTCAAAGTGGAAACCAGGTGGATCAGTTGAGGTAAGAAAGTTGTTAAATTGGATATGACAATGTTTTATTAATAATGTGACCTGAAAGACTAAATTATTTTGTTTAAAATGTCTATTTGCAGCGCTGAATAATGTTGGTTGTAATGCTGCTTGAAGAAGCAGCAGGTAGCGATAGCTAACTAGAGCGATAGCTAATGCTATAACTAGCTAGCTTTCTGAATTAATTTGTGGCTATTCTTTTCTAGCTGGTGTAGTGTTTAAACAGTTTATGACTTTGCTAATGGTTTCAAATGGTTTTAGAGGATGTTGACTCAGCTTAAGGGAGCATCTGGGGAGTAGTTCTATAGGGGCACCCTAAAGCCGAGGAATTCTGTTAGGTGGAGTCCTGGGATTGGTTTATGGGAAAACACCCATATTATGTTACATAGGGCATAGGATATAAATACCACGGTTAAAACAAAGGAGGACAGAACAACATATTATTTTGGGTCGTTGTTCTCCAGATGCCTGCAGATGTCTGTAAACTTACGCTGAAATCTTGTGATATAAATAAACCTTTATAATCAAAGTACAGTTTAAGCGGACTCCTTGGTCTCACAGCATAATTAGCATCATATTATTTAGATACAACACTGGCAAAATAAGTGAGCTAGATTTTCTTTGTGTACTGCCATATGTCGATAACATAGCTTAGTTTGTCGCTGGTATGGGCTAGTAAATATCCTAAACCTAGACAGTGATAGCTGCAAGCTAAAACCGGGGTGAGGGAAGGAGAGGAGAGAATTTAGGGTGTTCACCCATAAAAGGATTAATTAATTCAAGGTTTATAGAAATATGTCCATTCAATAGAGAATTGCGTCAGAAAAACAGTGTCTCTACCATTTTTGATTCAAAGGTTACTCTGAGAATTTAGCATGTTTAGAGTGAATGGAACAGGCATGATCAAAAAGTGGTCACTGAATAGAACTCTTAGTGGCTGCAAGTTCGTGAGTGAAAACATGGGCTTTTTCTAAATGAAATCCCTGGAATGCAAAACAAAATAGGGACTAAATATATATTTATTTACAAAGCTGACAGACTGATTTTCAATATCCACCGACCCCGAAGATAACCTGTTCCTGTTTCCATGGTGTATTTCTGATTATTTCCCTTTATATCCCAATAGAAATGGCCCGCTCAAAGTAGATTGGTCGCCAATATAGCCAATCTGCAAGGATCTGGAGATTAAAATGACAGGGGTATCAAGTCCCGTGTGGCTCAGTTGGTAGAGCATGGCGCTTGCAACGCCAGGGTTGTGGGTTCGATTCCCACGGGGGACCAGTACGAAAATATACTCTAAGTCGCTCTGGATAAGAGCGTCTGCTAAATAACTAAAATGTTACGTTAAATGTAATTTTGATTGGTCCAATCCGTAGAAACACCTCCAAATGGTACCACCTCCCAACGCCAAAATAGAGAGAGAGTGGAGCATTCTAAATTAGCAACGGTCACAGCAAATGAACGTTGTTATTTCATCAACACTGTCAAGTACAAGTATATTAAAGTTATAATATTGTAGAGAACTATTTAATGATTAATTCTATGTGATTTATAATGACATAGGGCAAAGAACTACGTTTTGACACTACATTTTGTAGCACCCTCTTGAATTGCCCTGTTTTTCTCAACATTCTAGAGCAGTGAGTGAACGCCCTAGATAATTCACTTTCTGTTTGATCTGCTGCTGGCTTGCTAATGTTCACTCAAATATGTTTTTCCCACATGTAATTGGTGAAATCAGATGTTTATTCTATAAAGACTGTAATTCTGTCAATATGCTTTGAATATTGTAGAAAAATCATTTTTTAATATAGGTACCATGTAAAAGATGGATAGCAATGCTCAAACTTCAGTCTATCATAATGACAAAGCGTAAACAGGTTTATTGACATTTTTGCAAATTTATAAAAAATAAACAACAGAAATACCTTATTTATATAAGTATTCAGACCCTTTGCTATGAGACTCGAAATTGAGCTCAGGTGCATCCTGTTTTCACTGATCATCCTTGAGCTGTTTCTACAACTTGATTGGAGTCCACCTGTGGTAAATTCAATTAATTGGACATGATTTGGAAAGGCACACACCTGTCTATATAAGGTCCCATAATTGACAGTGCATGTCAAAGCAAAAACCAAGCCATGAGGTCGAAGGAATTGTCCGTAGAGCTCCGAGACAGGATTGTGTCGAGGTACAGATCTGAGGAAGGGTACCAAAACATTTCTGCAGCATTGAAGATCCTCAAGAACACAGTGGCATCCATCATTCAACAAAGTACTGAGTAAAGGGTCTGAATACTTATGTAAATGTCATATTTAAGTTTTTGCTTTGTCATTATGGGGTATTTTGTGTAGATTGATGAGAGGAAAAAAACAATTTAATCAATTTTAGAATAAGGCTGTAACGTAACAAAATGTGGAAAAAGTCAAGGAGTATGAATACTTTCCGAATGCACTGTATATACATTACCGGTCAAGAGTTTTAGGACAACTACTCATTCAAGGGTTTTTCTTTATTTTTACTATTTTCTACATTGTAGAATAATAGTGAAGACATCAAAACTATGAAATAACACATATAGAATCATGTAGTAAACATAAAAGTGTTAAACAAATGAAAATATACTCCATCACTCTCCTTCTTGGTAAAATACCCCTTACACAGCCTGGAGGTGTGTTGGGTCATTGTCCTGTTGAAAAACAAATGATAGTCCCACTAAGCCCAAACCAGATGGGATGGCGTATCGCTGCAGAATGCTGTAGTAGCCATGCTGGTTAAGTGTGCCTTGAATTCTAAATAAATCACAGACAGCGTCACCAGCAAAGCACCCCCACACCATAACACCACCTCCTCCATGCTTTACGGTGGGAAATACACATGCAGAGATCATCCGTTCACCCAGACCGCGTCTCACAAAGACACGGCGGTTGGAACCAAAAATCTCAAATTTGGACTCCAGACCAAAGGACACATTTCCACCGGTCTAATGTCCATTGCTCGTGTTTCTTGGCCCAAGCAGGTCTCTTCTTCTTATTCGTGTTCTTTTAGTAGTGGTTTCTTTGCAGCAATTCAACCATGAAGGACTGATTCACACAGTCTCCTCTGAACAGTTGATGTTGAGATGTGTCTGTGACTTGAACTCTGTGAAGCATTTATTTGGGCTGCAATTTCTGAGGCTGGTAACACTAATGAACTTATCCTCTGCAGCAGAGGTAACTCTGGGTCTTCCACTTCCTGTGGCGGTCCTCATGAGAGCCAGTTTCATCATAGCGCTTGATGGTTTTTGCGACTGCACTTGAAGAAACTTTCAAAGTTCTTGAAATGTTCCGTATTGACTGACCTTCATGTCTTAAAGTAATGATGGACTGTCGTTTCTCTTTGCTTATTTGAGCCGTTCTTGCCATAATATGGACTTGGTCTTTTACCAAATAGGGCTATCTTCTGTATAACCCCCCCCCCCTTGTCACAACACAACTGATTGGCTCAAACGCATTAAGAAGGAAAGAAATTCCATAAATTAACTGTTAAGAAGGCACAGCTGTTAATTGAAATGCATTCCAGGTGACTACCTCATGAAGGTGGTTGAGAGAATGCCAAGAGTGTGCAAAGCTGTCATCAAGGCAAAGGGTGGCTATTTGAAGAATCTCAAATATGAACTATATTTTGATTTGTTTAACACTTTCTTGGTTACTACATGATTCCATGTGTGTTATTTAATAGTTTTGATGTCTTTCCTATTATTCTACAATGTAGAAAATAGTAAAAAAATAAAGAAAAACCCTTGAATGAGTAGGTGTGTCCAAACTTTTTACTAGTACTATATGTATTTATTATTATTACTTTAGGTCTATGATTTTTAAATACTCTTTCTCTCTCTCTCGCTCTCTCTTTCTGTAGGACAGTGTGGTGGACTGTCGGCTCACAGACCTTCGTGAGGAGGACACTGTAGAAGCTGTCCCCACGGTGACAAGGACCGGCAGGGACTGGACAACATGCTACTGAGGCTGAAGAAAGGGCTGAGGGACAATTACACCCTCACAAGACACACCCTCACAGCCCAGGTGAGCACGATATGATAAGCCAGGGTAACAGAACACACACAGACACACACAGGAAGGTGAACATTGACTGGCAAAGAATCAACATTTGGCTAGCCTGGTCCTAGATCTGTTTATCCTATTGTATGATAGTTGTCATGCCATGTTACCATAAAAGTTGGCTATACATAGGAGTTGGCTATACAGTGGGGGAAAAAAGTATTTAGTCAGCCACCAATTGTGCAAGTTCTCCCACTTAAAAAGATGAGAGAGGCCTGTAATTTTCATCATAGGTACACGTCAACTATGACAGACAAATGGAGGAAAAAAAATCCAGAAAATCACATTGTAGGATTTTTAATGAATTTATTTGCAAATTATGGTGGAAAGTAAGTATTTGGTCACCTACAAACAAGCAAGATTTCTGGCTCTCACAGACCTGTAACTTCTTCTTTAAGAGGCTCCTCTGTCCTCCACTCGTTACCTGTATTAATGGCACCTGTTTGAACTTGTTATCAGTATAAAAGACACCTATCCACAACCTCAAACAGTCACACTCCAAACTCCACTATGGCCAAGACCAAAGAGCTGTCAAAGGACACCAGAAACAAAATTGTAGACCTGCACCAGGCTGGGAAGACTGAATCTGCAATAGGTAAGCAGCTTGGTTTGAAGAAATCAACTGTGGGAGCAATTATTAGGAAATGGAAGACATACAAGACCACTGATAATCTCCCTCGATCTGGGGCTCCACGCAAGATCTCACCCCGTGGGGTCAAAATGATCACAAGAACGGTGAGCAAAAATCCCAGAACCACACGGGGGGACCTAGTGAATGACCTGCAGAGAGCTGGGACCAAAGTAACAAAGCCTACCATCAGTAACACACTACGCCGCCAGGGACTCAAATCCTGCAGTGCCAGACGTGTCCCCCTGCTTAAGCCAGTACATGTCCAGGCCCGTCTGAAGTTTGCTAGAGTGCATTTGGATGATCCAGAAGAGGATTGGGAGAATGTCAGATGAAACCAAAATATAACTTTTTGGTAAAAACTCAACTCGTCGTGTTTGGAGGACAAAGAATGCTGTGTTGCATCCAAAGAACACCATACCTACTGTGAAGCATGGGGGTGGAAACATCATGCTTTGGGGCTGTTTTTCTGCAAAGGGACCAGGACGACTGATCCGTGCAAAGGAAAGAATGAATGGGGCCATGTATTGTGAGATTTTGAGTGAAAACCTCCTTCCATCAGCAAGGGCATTGAAGATGAAACGTGGCTGGGTCTTTCAGCATGACAATGATCCCAAACACACCGCCCGGGCAACGAAGGAGTGGCTTCGTAAGAAGCATTTCAAGGTCCTGGAGTGGCCTAGCCAGTCTCCAGATCTCAACCCCATAGAAAATCTTTGGAGGGAGTTGAAAGTCTGTGTTGCCCAGCGACAGCCCCAAAACATCACTAATCTAGAGGAGATCTGCATGGAGGAATGGGCCAAAATACCAGCAACAGTGTGTGAAAACCTTGTGAAGACTTACAGAAAACGTTTGACCTGTGTCATTGCCAACAAAGGGTATATAACAAAGTATTGAGAAACTTTTGTTATTGACCAAATACTTATTTTCCACCATAATTTGCAAATAAATTCATAAAAAATCCTACAATGTGATTTTCTGGATTTATTTTTCTCATTTTGTCTGTCATAGTTGACGTGTACCTATGATGAAAATTACAGGCCTCTCTCATCTTTTTAAGTGGGAGAACTTGCACAATTGGTGGCTGACTAAATACTTTTTTCCCCACTGTATGGCACAATCTGTTGGAAGACCACACTAACATTTGGCTGATAGTCCGAGCAGAAAGAGTGAAACTTAAATGTACTGGAGGACTACTGTAGAAATCTTAGGTTTTGATACAGGAAAGATAGAAAGGAGAATAGGATGTGGTTTGTTTGAGTAGCACCTGAATGCGAGGGCAAGCGGTTATGCGTAGTAGGGGACCAACATTGTTGTAGGTTGAGGCACTCCAGGTAGTGTGATTCATTTTGGACATAGGCACCAGTAAAGGTAACTGTCAAATATGCCTACACTGATGCCCTCTCTAGGGAATAGGGTGCCATTTGGAACGCAGCCCATTGAAAGATAATAAACTATTGTTCCTTCTGTGCAGGGTGAACCTGGCGTGGCCTACACTGAGTTGACAGAGGAGTGTAGGGCAGCCCCCGAAGTTACTCTTATCAACTTTATGCAAGAATTTCCTCTGTGTTGCCTTAGGAATAAATCTATCTCTACTACAGGAGCTGTGTCGTATCAGAGGTCTGGCTGTCAAACAGACTGAGATCCCAAGGAAGGCATCCCACGAGCAGATGGGTCAGTATGTCCAAACACATGATACAAATATTAAAGATTATACTCCATATTGATGTTGAATAAAATAGATTGATCACTGTGCTCAGACTGGTTTCACTTCACTTGTAGTGAAACAGAATGTGAGCTTGCAAGATCAGGCTGGTTTAGGGAGGTTATAGAAATACATTATGCTTGATGCCATGCCAACTGATGCCTGTCCCCCTCCCCACCCCTCCAGGTCTAAGATGCTGCCCAGCATTGCTCCCCGGCCAGATCAATTTTGATGACAATATCCCTGAGATGGATGTTGTATATAATGTTATGGCTATGATGGTTACAGGTTTGAATGAGACAATGTATTCCCCTCCCCTAATTCTTTCAATAAAGTTCTTGTTTTATTAATATTATATTACTTGTGTGTCTTTCCTGATCAAATGTAAGACTAAATGCTATTTGTTATTAGTTTTGGTGCAGATTGTTTAATATACTACTATCCAGATAAGAAAGTGTCTGATCAAGGAACATTCCATAGACAAATACCATCGGTCATTAATACAGCTGTAACTTGTTCACAAAAAAAGTAGTAGTTTTTTTTACCCCATTTTTCTCCCCAATTTTGCGATCTTGTCTCATCGCTGCAACTCCCCAACGGGCTCGGGAGAGGCGAATGTCGAGTCACGCGTCCTCCGAAACATGACCCGTCAAACCGCGCTCCTTAACACCCGCCCGCTTAACCTGGAAGCCAGGAGGAGGAGGAAACCGTTCAACTGACGGCCAAAGTCAGCCTGCAGGCACCCATCCCGCCACAAGGAGTCGCTAGAGCTCAATGAGCCAAGTAAAGCCCCCGCGGCCAAACCCTTCCCTAACCCGGACAACGCTGTGCCAATTGTGCGCCGCCCTATGGGACTCCCGGTTGTGACACAGCCTGGGATCGAACCCAGGTCTGTAGCCACTCGGGAGGCCCAGTAAAAGGTATTTCTATTATGATTTCAGATGTTCAATCATTACAAAACAAGGAAGACTCAATATGCTCTAGGTTTTTATCTTCATTAGAAAGTTGTGTAAATGGCAGTTGTTTAAAAAAAAAAAAGCATTGATTTTTGTATGACACATTTTCACAGGTGTTATTTCTTGACTGATTACAATGTTATTGATGGGGTGCTATTGTATGTCATATCATTTCAAAGGGCTGTTTCTCACTGTGTGTGTGCGCGGGCGTGCAGTAGCCCAGACATCCAAACTATGAAATAACACATATGGAATCATGTAGTAAACAAAAAAGTGTTAAACAAATCCAAAAATATTCAAAGTAGCCACTTAAAATATTTTTTGATTTGTTTAACACTTTTTTTGTTTACTACATGATTCCGTATGTGTTATTTCATAGTTTTGATGTCTTCACTATTATTCTACAATGTAGAAAACAGTAAAAATAAAGAAAACCCTTGAATGAGTAGGTGTGTCCAAACTTTTGACTGGTACTGTAGATCATTTGTAGTCAGCAATAGGGGAGTGATTGCTTCCTACAAGAGCATAAAATGTGTACATTTTTAGGAGAGTGATTGCTTCCTACAAGAGCATAAAGTGTGTACATTTTTTGACATCTTTGAAAAGTCAGTCAGGTAAAGAGCTTTATTTTGTCTTAAAGGGGCAGTGTTGTATTTTGAGACAGGCTTGAATAAGCTAAGTATCCAATAGGCAGAGGGCAGCGTCATTTGTCTGATTTTCTGTAATAATGGTATGGGAATAATAATGCTTTTTATTTTGTAAAGTGGTTTCTTGCGTCAAACAACATAACATTTTCAGTCACCTCCTTGTCTGAAGGACAAGTGGATAAACAGGTTAATGTCAATCCCTACATGTTTTTTTCAAAAGTCTCATGGAATGTAGGCCTACATTGAACACCACACATTGGCTGCTACTGTAGGTTGAATGATAGAACAGCTATTTCCATGTTAAAATGTTATGGGATGCATTTTCTCCATTGTTTTTGATGGTAGGCCACTCTGGTAGGCCTACATTATGATCAAATAGCCACACTAGCCTACTTGGCCACTGTTAAAACTGTAACTTAAAGTGGGTACAGCCTCAGTGTTCACAGTAAACGCATGCTGGAAGCTGCACAGAATTTTCACAATGTTCAAGTTTGCGCTCAGCAGACCTGAAATTTGCTCAGTGTCGAAAGAAATTAGAGGGAACATTGGTCATGATCCAGCAAGAAATTGAACATTTCGCTCAGGCTGTAAAGGGTTAGTTTGCGTTGTTTGCAGGTCATGAAGTCGTTCCTCTGTCACATTGGCCACTGTCTCCAAACTTTCCGCTTTAGTTGAGTAGTTATCCACTTCAGAAGTGAGCAGTGCAAGATATTCATTTGCCGGTTTTAATTGCAAGTCTAGGGCAGAGGTCATTTCCTGATAGTAGCGGCCAACTTTTTCTGTTGTCGGGTGTTGAGAGCCGCCATGTTCCCACAGGTGAATTGTGAATGGACAGATTATGCCAGCTGCTGAAGCGAAATAGACCTGCTAGTTGTTCCTTGTAATACAGTGAACGTCCCACACCTTAATATGGCGTTATATGTTGACAATTATTTGAAAATAAATCAGTTAACTCATAGTTATTTTGCAAAAGAAAGCCACGCGTTTCAATGCATGCCACCGGAACTGGAAGTTCTGTTTTCAATACCTTTCAATACCTCACCTTGTGAGGATAACGGTACTGAAAAAGGCTCAGTGCCATTTTCCTCACAAGATGAGGTATTGAAAATAGGGGTGTCGATAATTTTGACTGCCTACCTTTTTGATAGGAAAAATATTTGTAGTACTTGTTAAACAAATCCTCTTTCTCTGAGCAATTGTGTTAGTAAAAAATTATAGAATTTCCAAATTTTTGGAGAATACAATATAGCTCAGTATTTGAATAATGAATTTTATAGTCATTTTTGCTCATCTTTATCAAGGGTGTCAATAATTTCAGAACCCACTGTATACATTCACCCGCCAGTTTATTAAGTACACCCAACTAGTACCAGGTCGGACCTCCCTTTGCCTCCATAACTGAATTATTCGGGGCATTCTTAGCATAGGGATGTTGGACCATGCTGACGTGATGGCATCATACAGTTGCTGCAGATTGGACGACGGTACATTCATGCTACGAATAGCCCATTCCATCTCATTACAAAGATGCTCTACTGGGTAGTCTGGGGACTGCACAGAAAATTGAACTCGCTGTCATGTACCAGGCAATGTTTTTCCAGTCCTCAATTGTCCAGTGTTGGTGATTCCGTGCCCACTGGAGCCGCTTCTTCTTGATTGTAGCTGATAGGGGTGGAACCCGGTGGCGTCATCTGTGGCAATAGCCCATCCGTGACAAGGATCAACGAGTTGTGCGTTCCGAGATGCCGTTCTGCACACCACTGTTGTACTATTGTACAGCACCGCCTGTTAGCTTGCACGATTCTTACCATTCTCCTTCGACCTCTAACATCAACGAGCTGTTTTCACCCACAGACTGCCGTTGACTAGAAGCTTTCTGTTTGTCGCACCATTCTCGGTAAACCCTATACACTGACGTGCGTGAAAAGCCCAGGATGCCGGCCATTTCTGAGATGCCGGCGCGCCTGGCACCGAGGATCATACCACGCTCAAAGTTGCTTAGGTCACTCGTTTTCCCATTCTATCGTTCACTCGAACAGTAACTGAATGCCTCGATGCCTGTCTGCCTGCATGATATAGCTCGCCACAGCAGTGACAGTCTGTAGGAGCGAACCATTTTTGTGAACGGGGTGGTGTACCTAATAAACTGGCCACTGAGTGTATACATACACATGTTGCTGAGGTTGCCTTTAATGTTGTGATGTGTGTAACCCGGTGGATTTTGACTCTATCCTTTCTCCCCTCAGGGTGGTGAAAGAGGAGATCTCAGACGAGTATGCCAAACTGCCCTGTTTCAACGGCCGAGTCGTGTCATGGGTGAGCAACTGTTCTTCATGTTTATCACCGTCATCACCTATCCCCTATCTCAATTCCAGCGCGGTCCAGTGTTTCTCTTTCTCTCTTTCTTTCTCTCTCTCATTTCTGCCACAGTCCAGTTTTTTGTTCTCTCTCCATCTGTCTGTCTGTCTGTCTGTCTCCCTCTCTCTTTCTCGCTCTCTCTGTATATCTGCATGACCCCACTGTATGCAGACATCCATCATCAGTAGGTCGAGAAGAGGCCTGTGTATGTGTTCACTTCACAGCAGTGTGTCACCATTGATTGAGAGGAGCAGAGTGCGTGTGTGTGACTGTTTGCTAGCTAGGCAACAGCGAACAGACTTGTTTAATTGGGTTTTGGTGGGATCTGTTTTGGCTTCACATGGGTCGCTCATTTGGGAGTTGTGTGTCTGACTCACTCACTCACTCACTCACTCACTCACTCACTCTCACACTCTCACACACACACATTCTCTGTGTTCCACAAGTTCATCTCTGTCCAACACATGCACACTTCTACATCCAAATCCATTCATAGTCATGCACAGCAGCCTCTTGAGTGAAAATTCCATCTAATCCTAAGGAGAGAAACAGGAGGCTTTTATTTTCTCTCTGCCCCTCTCCCTGCCTCTTTCTCTACATCTCTCATTCTCTGTCTGTCTGTCCGTTTGCCTGTCTGTGTGCCTCTCTCTCCCAGAGAGGCAGAAAGACCTTGGTTAACATACATTATATATACAAAAGTATGGACACCCCTTCAAATTAGTGGATTTGGCTATTTCAGCCCACCCGTTGCTGACAGGTGTATAAAATCGAGCACACCGCCATGCAATCTCCATAGACAAACAGAAGTAGAATGGCCTTACTGAAGAGCTCAGTGACTTTCAACGTGGCACAGTCATAGGATGCCACCTTTCCAACAAGTTAGTTCATCAAATTTCTGCCCTGCTAGAGCTTCCCCGGTCAACTGTAAGTGCTGTTATTGTGAAGTGGAAATGTCTAGGAGCAACAACGGCTTAGCCGCAAAATGGTAGGCCACACAAGCCAACAGAACAGGACCGCCGAGTGCTGAAACGCATAGCGTGTAGAAATCGTCTGTCCTCGGTTGCAACACTCACTACCGAGTTCCAAACTGCCTCTGGAAGCAACATCAGCACAAGAACTGTTCGTCGGGAACTTCATGAAATGGCTTTCCATGGCCGAGCAGCCGCACACAAGCCTAAGATCACCATGCGCAATGCCAAGCGTCGGCTGGAGTGGTGTAAAGCTCGCTGCCATTGGACTCTATAGCAGTGTAAACGCATTCTCTGGAGTGATAAATCACGCTTCACCATCTGGCAGTCCGATGGACGAATCTTGGTTTGGTGGATGCCAGGAGAACGCTACCTGCCCCATTGCATAGTGCCAACTGTTTGCTGGAGGAGGAATAATGGTCTGGGGCTGTTTTTCATGGTTCAGGCTAGGCCCCTTAGTTCCAGTGAAGGGAAATCTTAACGCTACAGCATACAATGAAATTCTAGACGATTCTGTGCTTCCAACTTTGTGGCAAAAGTTTGGGGAAGGCACTTTCCTGTTTCATCATGACAATGCCCCCGTGCACAAAGCCAGGTCCATACAGAAATGGTTTGTCGAGATCGGTGTGGAAGAACTTGACTGGCCTGCACAGAGCCCTGACCTCAACCCCATCGAACACCTTTGGGATGAATTGGAACATCGACTGCAAGCCAGGCCTAATCGCCCAACATCAGTGCCCGACCTCACTAATGCTCTTGTGGCTGAATGGAAGCAAGTCCCCGCAGCAGTGTTCCAACATCTAGTGGAAAGCCTTCCCAGAAGAGTGGAGGCTGTTATAGCAGCAAAGGGGGACCAACTCCATATTACTGCCCATGATTTTGGAAAGAGATGTTCGACGAGCAGGTGTCCACATACTTTTGGTTATGTAGTGTATCTTGCCTGGTCTACTGACTCTTTCCCTCTTTTCTTCACTCTGCATTTCCCCTGCCCCGGGGTGTAGTTTCCCCTAGATACAGATCTAGCATCAGTTTCCCCTCCACCAATCATAACCTTAACCATTAGTCGGAAAAATGCTAAACTGACGCAAGATCAGCGTCTAGGAGGGCCTGGACACTGAGGTGAACTCAGCGCTCTCAGGCTGAGGTTTTGGTTGAGCTCTGGTCATGACTACCACTGAGCTGGCTAGAACTCCCTGGACACGATTGAACACTGTATTTTGGGTGTGTGGTTAGACCTCAATAGCTCCTTTTGGTGGCCATAAGGGAGAGGTGCAGATGCCACTCCCATCGCTCTACTTCCTCTCCTCCCTTCCCTTCTCCTCTCTTTTCCCTTCTCCTCTTTCCTGTATAAGGCAAGCAGAGGAAGCAGTGAAGCATATGAGGGAGATATGCATTTCCCAAACTTTAGAACACTGGAGCTGGTCTGAAATGTACTCTAGATCAGTGTTTCCCACACAACAAAATGTGGAAAAAGTAAAGTGCTGTGAATACTGTCTGAAGGCACTGTAGTTGCCCAACTTTCTGTTCAGATACACTGGTCCTCGAGTACCCCCAACAGTACACATTGTCATTGTAGCCCTGGACAAACACACTTCATTCAGCTCATTGAGGGTTTGATGATTAGTTGACTAGTTGAATCAGGTGTGCTTGTCCAGGGTTACAATAGAAATATGTACTGTTGGGGGTACTCAAGGACCAGGGTTGGGAAACACTGCTCTAGATAAAGAAAAGGATTACACAGTGGTATCGGGAGATTTTTAAGGTTTTGTCTATGGATGAACTTGGCGCTAGGAGGAAAGGAAAACATTTATACATCTGTACTAAAGTGTGGCAGCCTATGCTGGACCATTTGCTGTTAGAGAGGCAGATAAGCTGTAGTTTGGGGCTTGAATGGGCCACCTTAACTCAGTGTAAAGGGAGTACTGTTTATGCCGATATGTAAGCTTATTGCATGGTGAAATGTGAGGTGTGTATCTGAACAGAAAGTTGGGCAACTACAGTGCTTTCAGAAAGTATTCACACCCCTTAACCTTTTCCACATTTTGTTGTGTTACTCTAATGTCAAAGTCAGTCAAAGTCAATGTCAAGAAATTTGCCCTGGCATTTTATCCACACCAGCCCACATCACTGTGCACGCCGCCAACTCTAAAATGTTTTATGAGATTGGAGAACATATTGGGGGGGATTTTAGACCATTCCTCCATACATAATAATCTGTGATTATGGACTGCCCTCTTCAATTCCAACCACAGGTTTTCAATGGGGTTGAAGTCCGGAGACTGAGATTGCCATTGCAAAATGTTGATTTTGTGGTCAATTAACCATTTATTTATGGATTTTGATGTGTGCTTGGGGTTATTGTCTTGCTGGAAGATCCACTTGCGGCCAAGTGTTAGCCTCCTGGCAGTGGCAAGCAGGTTTTTGGCTGAAATGACCTGGTACTATGGGGCTATTTTGCTTCCACAAGTCCTGGGGCCCTTGTTAAGGTCAACGGCAGTGGTCACCAACCGGTCGATTCCAAATCAAGATTTGGGTCCGACCATATACTGGACTGAATCAGGTGCACCTACAGCATGAAACAAAAAAATTAAAATAGGAACTCAAGGCTTTATTGTTTTTTTTTTTACAGAAATGTTTGGTGATCAACTAGGAATGCCTTGGAGATCGCCCAGTCGATCACCAAACATTTCTGTAAAAAACCCAACGATAAAGCCTTGCGTTAATTTATTTATTTTATTCGTCTCGCGCTGTTGGCGGTAGGTGCACCTGATTCAGCTGCCCTGCGTGCCGGGTAGGCAAAGTGTTCCCATTTTGAACCATTTCATGCGTCTGAAGGTACAAACTCTTCCTTCCTGGCAGGCCCGGAGAGCAAATCAAGAGCACTATAGGCCTAAAAAAAAAATCTGAGTGGGAGATCTCTGCCAAGTACCAGGATATTCTTTGCAAAAACCTGGTTGCCTCTGCCAGGAGGCTGACACTTGGCCGCAAGTGGATCTTACGTACTGTCACAGATATACAGTTGAAGTCGGAAGATTACATACACTTAGGATGGAGTCATTAAAACTTGTTTTTCAACCCTCCACAAATTAACAAACTATAGTTTTGGCAAGTCGGTTAGGATGATACAAGTAATTTTTCGAACAATTGTTTACAGACAGATTATTTCACTTATAATTCACTGTATCACAATTCCAGTGGGTCAGAAGTTCATACACTAAGTTGACTGTGCCTTTAAACAGCTTGGAAAATCCCAGAAAATGATGTCATGGCTTTAGAAGCTTCTGATAGGCTAATTGACATCATTTGAGTCAATTGGAGGTGTACCAATACCAAAAATGTATGCACGCATGACTGTAAGTCGCTTTGGATAAAAGCGTCTGCTAAATGGCATATTATTATATTATTATTACCTGTGGATGTATTTCAAGGCCTACCTTCAAACTCAGTGCCTCTTTGCTTGACATCATGGGAAAATCAAAAGAAATCAGCCAAGACCTCAGAAAGAATATTGTAGACCTCCACAAGTCTGGTTCTTCCTTGGGAGCAATTTCCAAACACCTGAAGGTACCACGTTCATCTGTACAAACAATAGTACGCAAGTATAAACACCATGGGACCACGCAGCCGCCATACCGCTCAGGAAGGAGACGCGTTCTGTCTCCTAGAGATGAACGTACTTTGGTGCGAAAAGTGCAAATCAATCCCAGAACAACAGCAAAGGACCTTGTGAAGATGCTGGAGGAAACAGGTACAAAAGTATCTATATCCACAATAAAACGAGGCCGCTCAGCAAAGAAGAAGCCACTGCTCCAAAACCGCCATAAAAAAAACAGATTACGGTTTGCAACTGCACATGGGGACAAAGATTGTACTGTTTGGAGAAATATCCTCTGGTCTGATTAAATACAAATAGAACTGTTTGGCCATAATGACCATCGTTATGTTTGGAGGAAAAAGGGGGTACCTTGCAAGCCGAAGAACACCATCCCAACCGTGAAGCGCGGGGGTGGCAGCATCATGCTGTTGGGTGCTTTGCTGCAGGAGGGACTGGTGCACTTCACAAAATAGATGGCATCATGAGGAAGGAAAATTATGTGGATATATTGAAGCAACATCTCAAGACATCAGTCAGGAAGTTGAAGCTTGGTCGCAAATGGGTCTTCCAAATGGACAATGACCCCAAGCATACTTCCAAAGTTGTGGCAAAATGGCTTAAGGACAACAAAGTCAAGGTATTGGAGTGGCCATCACAAAGCCCTGACCTCAATCCTATAGAAAATGGGTGGGCAGAGCTGAAAAAGCGTGTGCGAGCAAGGAGGCCTACAAACCTGATTCAGTTACACCAGCTCTGTCAGGAGGAATGGCCCAAAATTCACCCAACTTATTGTGGGAAGCTTGTGGAAGGCTACCCTAAACGTTTGACCCAAGTTAAACAATTTAAAGGCAATGCTACCAAATACTAATTGAGTGTATGTAAACTTCTGACCCACTGGGAATGTGTTGAAATAAATAAAAGCTGAAATAAATCATTCTCTCTACTATTATTCTGACATTTCACATTCTTGAAATAAAGTGGTGATCCTAACTGACCTAAGACAGGAAATTCTTCCTAGGATTAAATGTCAGGAATTGTGAAAAACTGAGATTAAATGTATTTGGCTAAGGTGTATGTAAACTTCAGACTTCAACTGTACATACAAAATAATATGAATTGACTCTATGTGTTAATTACTATTACAGGTCTCCAGGCTAACATTTTCCCCTGGTGTCACTGGTGCCACTAACTTTTACAGTTGGTAGTACCAGCCCATTATACAGTGGGGGAAAAAATTATTTAGTCAGCCACCAATTGTGCAAGTTCTCCCACTTAAAAAGATGAGAGAGGCCTGTAATTTTCATCATAGGTACACGTCAACTATGACAGACAAATTGAGAATTTTTTTCCAGAAAATCACATTGTAGGATTTTTAATGAATTTATTTGCAAATTATGGTGGAAAATAAGTATTTGGTCACCTACAAACAAGCAAGATTTCTGGCTCTCACAGACCTGTAACTTCTTCTTTAAGAGGCTCCTCTGTCCTCCACTTGTTACCTGTATTAATGGCACCTGTTTGAACTTGTTATCAGTATAAAAGACACCTGTCCACAACCTCAAACAGTCACACTCCAAACTCCACTATGGCCAAGACCAAAGAGCTGTCAAAGGACACCAGAAACAAAATTGTAGACCTGCACCAGGCTGGGAAGACTGAATCTGCAATAGGTAAGCAGCTTGGTTTGAAGAAATCAACTGTGGGAGCAATTATTAGGAAATGGAAGACATACAAGACCACTGATAATCTCCCTCGATCTGGGGCTCCACGCAAGATCTCACCCCGTGGGGTCAAAATGATCACAAGAACGGTGAGCAAAAATCCCAGAACCACACGGGGGGACCTAGTGAATGACCTGCAGAGAGCTGGGACCAAAGTAACAAAGCCTACCATCAGTAACACACTACGCCGCCAGGGACTCAAATCCTGCAGTGCCAGACGTGTCCCCCTGCTTAAGCCAGTACATGTCCAGGCCCGTCTGAAGTTTGCTAGAGTGCATTTGGATGATCCAGAAGAGGATTGGGAGAATGTCATATGGTCAGATGAAACCAAAATATAACTTTTTGGTAAAAACTCAACTCGTCGTGTTTGGAGGACAAAGAATGCTGAGTTGCATCCAAAGAACACCATACCTACTGTGAAGCATGGGGGTGGAAACATCATGCTTTGGGGCTGTTTTTCTGCAAAGGGACCAGGACGACTGATCCGTGTAAAGGAAAGAATTAATGGGGCCATGTATCGTGAGATTTTGAGTGAAAACCTCCTTCCATCAGCAAGGGCATTGAAGATGAAACGTGGCTGGGTCTTTCAGCATGACAATGATCCCAAACACACCGCCCGGGCAACGAAGGAGTGGCTTCGTAAGAAGCATTTCAAGGTCCTGGAGTGGCCTAGCCAGTCTCCAGATCTCAACCCCATAGAAAATCTTTGGAGGGAGTTGAAAGTCCGTGTTGCCCAGCGACAGCCCCAAAACATCACTGCTCTAGAGGAGATCTGCATGGAGGAATGGGCCAAAATACCAGCAACAGTGTGTGAAAATCTTGTGAAGACTTACAGAAAACGTTTGACCTGTGTCATTGCCAACAAAGGGTATATAACAAAGTATTGAGAAACTTTTGTTATTGACCAAATACTTATTTTCCACCATAATTTGCAAATAAATTCATTAAAAATCCTACAGTGTGATTTTCTGGATTTCTTTCTTCTCATTTTGTCTGTCATAGTTGACGTGTACCTATGATGAAAATTACAGGCCTCTCTCATCTTTTTAAGTGGGAGAACTTGCACAATTGGTGGCTGACTAAATACTTTTTTTCCCCACTGTATGGTCGGACCAAAATCATGATTTGGAATCATCTTATACTGTAAAGTCATTCGTAGTGCTTTATTAAGAAATATAATAAATAGACTCCTGAGGTATTCAATAAATACGTTGTTTAATCTAATACGTCCAAGCAGCAATGCATGATTCAAGATGTTTTGATGTGCAACCTAATCCAGTGATTGTCATGAATTTTGGGTTGACAATTAGGCTATAGTTGCTATAGTATATTGTCAAAATAGGACCCCAGAATTCCCTGCAACTGCATTTTGAAATGTTATGCGATCAGACATTTTTCTCTCCAGCGCATGGGGGGAGAGGAGAGTGGCTCGCTCATCACAGCAGTATGCCCCAGCGAGGACACAGTGGCAGGGCTGACACTTTCATTACAGGAATCATGAGGATAATGCACTTTACTGTTTGATCAAATCATGGTTTTAGCCACCCAAAAAATAGGAAGTACTGAGTGAGGTGACAATGTAGAAAATTTATAGACACCTTTTCCCTTTTTGAAGATCCATGATCCTGGCTGTCTAACTGATGACAGAATCGGAGCAGGTCTCTTTGCTGATGGCGCGTTTGACTTTGAATGTGAGTTTGCATGACCTCAGCTCTGCCTATCAGAAAAACTTGGCCAGCCCATCTTGGTAGGGGGGTCGGCTGTTGCCCACTGATCAACCAAAGGCTCATTATAGATATACAGTGAGGGAAAAAAGTATTTGATCCCCTGCTGATTTTGTACGTTTGCCCACTGACAAAGACATGATCAGTCTATAATTTTTATGGTAGGTTTATTTGAACAGTGAGAGACAGAATAACAACAAAACAATCCAGAAAAACGCATGTCAAAAATTGTATAAATTGATTTGCATTTTAATGAGGGAAATAAGTATTTGACCCCTCTGCATAACATGACTTAGTACTTGGTGGCAAAACCCTTGTTGGCAATCACAGAGGTCAGACGTTTCTTGTAGTTGGCCACCAGGTTTGCACACATCTCAGGAGGGATTTTTTTCCACTCCTCTTTGCAGATCTTCTCCAAGTCATTAAGGTTTCGAGGCTGACGTTTGGCAACTCGAACCTTCAGCTCCCTCCACAGATTTTCTATGGGATTAAGGTCTGGAGACTGGCTAGGCCACTCCAGGATCTTAATGTGCTTCTTCTTGAGCCACTCCTTTGTTGCCTTGGCCATGTGTTTTGGGTTATTGTCATGCTGGAATACCCATCCACGGCCCATTTTCAATGCCCTGGCTGAGGGAAGGAGGTTCTCACCCAAAATTTGGGTGAGTCCATCGTCCCTTTGATGCGGTGAAGTTGTCCTGTCCCCTTAGCAGAAAAACACCCCCAAAGCATAATGTTTCCACCTCCATGTTTGACGGTGGGGATGATGTTCTTGGGGTCATAGGCAGCATTTCTCCTCCTCCAAACACGGCGAGTTGAGTTGATGCCAAAGAGCTCGATTTTGGTCTCATCTGACACTTTCACCCAGTTCTCCTCTGAATCATTCAGATGTTCATTGGCAAACTTCAGACGGCCCTGTAATGTGCTTTCTTGAGCAGGGGGACCTTGCGGGCGCTGCAGGATTTCAGTCCTTCACGGCGTAGTGTGTTACCAATTGTTTTCTTGGTGACTATGGTCCCAGCTGCCTTGAGATCATTGACAAGATCCTCCCGTGTAGTTCTAGGCTGATTCCTCACCGTTCTCATGATCATTGCAACTCCACGAGGTGAGATCTTGCATGGAGCCCCAGGCGGAGGGAGATTGACAGTTCTTTTGTGTTTCTTCCATTTGCGAATAGTCCCACCAACTGTTGTCACCTTCTCACCAAGCTGCTTAGCGATGGTCTTGTAGCCCATTCCAGCCTTGTGTAGGTCTACAATCTTGTCCCTGACATCCTCGGAGAGCTCTTTGGTCTTGGCCATGGTGGAGAGTTTGGAATCTGATTGATTGATTGCTTCTGTGGACAGGTGTCTTTTATACAGGTAACAAACTGAGAATAGGAGAACTCCCTTTAAGAGTGTGCTCCTAATCTTAGCTCGTTACCTGTATAAAAGACACCTGGGAGCCAGAAATCTTTCTGATTGAGAGGGGGTCAAATACTTATTTCCCTCATTAAAATGCAAATCAATGTATAAAATTTTGGACATGCGTTTTTCTGGATTTCTTTGTTGTTATTCTGTCTCTCACTGTTCAAATAAACCTACCATTAAAATTATAGACTGATCATGTCTTTGTCAAAGGGCAAACGTACAAATTCAGCAGGGGATCAAATACTTTTTTCCCTCACTGTAAGTGTTTGATACATCAGAAAAGCAGAACTTAATATTTGGTACAGAAACCTTTGTTTGCAATTACAGAGATCATACGTTTCGTGTAGGTCTTGACCAGGTTTGCACACACTGCAGCAGGGATTTTGGCCCACTCCTCCATACAGACCTTCTCCAGATCCTTCAGGTTTCGGGGCTGTCGCTGGGCAATACGGACTTTCAGCTCCCTCCAAAGATTTTCTATTGGGTTCAGGTCTGGAGACTGGTTAGGCCACTCCAGGACCTTGAGATGCTTCTTACGGAGCCACTCCTTAGTTGCCCTGGCTGTGTGTTTTGGGTCGTTGTCATGCTGGAAGACCCAGCCACGACCCATCTTCAATGCTCTTACTGAGGGAAGGAGGTTGTTGGCCAAGATCTCACGATACATGACCCCATCCATCCTCCCCTCAATACGGTGCAGTCGTCCTGTCCCCTTTGCAGAAAAGCATCCCCAAAGAATGATGTTTCCACCTCCATGCTTCACGGTTGGGATGGTGTTCTTGGGGTTGTACTCATCCTTCTTCCTCCAAACACAGCGAGTGGAGTTTAGACCAAAAAGCTATATTTTTGTCTCATCAGACCACATGACCTTCTCCCATTCCTCCTCTGGATCATCCAGATGGTCATTGGCAAACTTCAGACGGGCCTGGACATGCGCTGGCTTGAGCAGGGGGACCTTGCGTGCGCTGCAGGATTTTAATCCATGACGGCGTAGTGTGTTACTAATGGTTTTCTTTGAGACTGTGGTCCCAGCTCTCTTCAGGTCATTGACCAGGTCCTGCCGTGTAGTTCTGGGCTGATCCCTCACCTTCCTCATGATCATTGATGCCCCACGAGGTGAGATCTTGCATGGAGCCCCAGACCGAGGGTGATTGACCGTCATCTTGAACTTCTTCCATTTTCTAATAATTATGCCAACAGTTGTTGCCTTCTCACCAAGCTGCTTGCCTATTGTCCTGTAGCCCATCCCAGCCTTGTGCAGGTCTACAATTTTATCCCTGATGACCTTACACAGCTCTCTGGTCTTGGCTATTGTGGAGAGGTTGGAGTCTGTTTGATTGAGTGTGTGGACAGGTGTCTTTTATACAGGTAACGAGTTCAAACAGGTGCAGTTAATACAGGTAATGAGTGGAGAACAGGAGGGCTTCTTAAAGAAAAACTAACAGGTCTGTGAGAGCCGGAATTCTTACTGGTTGGTAGGTGATCAAATACTTATGTCATGCAATAAAATGCAAACTAATTACTTAAAAATCATACAATGTGATTTTCTGGATTTTTGTTTTAGATTCCGCCTCTCACAGTTGAAGTGTACCTATGATAAAAATGACAGACCTCTACATGCTTTGTAAGTAGGAAAACCTGCAAAATCGGCAGTGTATCAAATACTTGTTCTCCCCGCTGTATTTAAAAAAAATTGTGTGTCAATTTTGACCAGCCCACCCAACTAAAAAATGGTCCAGCCCATCTGGCATTTGCCAGACTTGCCAGTTGGCCAATCCGCCATGGAAGAAAAATTCTAACATTTGTATAAAATTCATGAAAAATAAAACACTAATATATCTTGATTAGATAAGTATTCAACCCCCTGAGTCAATACATGTTGGAATCATCCTTGGCAGCGATTACAGCTGTGAGTCTTTCTGGGTAAGTTTCTAGGAGCTTTCCACACCTGGATTGTGCAACATTTTCCCATTTATTATTTTCAGAATTCTTCAAGCTCTGTCAAATTGGTTGTTGATCATTGGTAGACAACCATTTTCAGGTATTGTCATAGATCTTCAAGCAGATTTAAGTCAAAACTGTAACTTGGCCACTCAGGAACATTCACTGTCTTCTTGGTAAGCAACTCCAGTGTATATTTGGCCTTGTGTGTTAGGTTATTGTCCTGCTGAAAGGTGAATTCAACTCCCAGTGTCTGGTGAAAAGCAGACTGAACCAGGTTTTCCTCTGGGATTTAGCTCCATTCCGTTTCTCTTTTATCCTGAAAAACTCCCCAGTCCTTAACGATTACAAGCATACCCATAACATGATGCAGCCACCACTATGCTTGAAAATATGGAAAAAAAGTTAATTTATTTGCCACATTTTTTGCAGTATTACTTTAGTGCCTTGTTGCAAACATGATGCATGTTTTGGAATATTTTTATTCTGTACAGGCTTCCTTATTTTCACTCTGTCAGTTAGGTTATTATTGTGGAGTAACTACAATGTTGTTTATCCATCCTTGTCAAAGACATTTTGAAAAACATAATTCCACTTTGACATGGGTATTGTGTGTAGGCCAGTGGCAAAACAAATCTCTATTTAATCCATTTTATATTCAGGCTGTAACACAACAAAATGTGGAAAAAAATCAAGGGGTGTGAATACTTTCTGAAGGCACTATATTGTGGAAACTGTTTATATATATTTTGTTCTTCCTTTTTATGTTTTTATTACGATTATTGTACTTATTTCTATTACACTATATACATTGTTTCTAATTGTTATAATTATTTATGACTTTGTTGATGAAAAAAATTATATATGGATTTACCACTTGAACAACTGCTTTTGTTTGATATCATCAATAAAATATATAGAAAAAAATATATTTAAAAAGGAAAGAAAGGCCTGCACATAGTATATAGCTGCTCCCCAGTGCTTTATTCCTGCACCATGTTGGCGGAGGCTTAGTAGGAAGACCAGACCAAAGCAGACCAGAGCAAAGCAGTAGAGACCAGAATAGTTCTCCTTACTTCCCCAGCTGATTAGATTAGCTAACTGGAATCACAGGATGCTCCACCACACTCCTGAAATATCCTGGGCCTAACTGATTGAATCGGAAAAAAAAAGGACATTCCAAAAGAGCGTCGTGGAAATTCTACACAGGGACACTCAAAGTAAATCTTAAATGAATCATTCTTTATTATCAGCGCACTGGAGAGGTTCCAACCAACTCAATGCACCAAGAACACATGTCGATCAGGAGCTCTCCCGTGGCAGTCCCATTAGTTCTCTTATAAACTGCAGACAAGTTATATTTGCATGATTTAGTTTATTCATCATTAATGTTTGCTTCATTCATGTGACCGACCAATACTGGTTCATGCATGTGACAGACCAATACCTCACGAGGCTTCTTCTCTCTAAGCTGAGACCTTGAAACTGAGATATCTTTTGTTCTCACAAACAAGGGTCTGGGCGTACTGTCAAATTGCAGATATTGATAGTGGGGATTCGTTCAATCAGTCACATGCATGAACAGAAATTGGTTATTAGAAAAGCACAAACAATGAACACAGAAATTGGTTATTGGAAAAGCACAAACATAAAATGTTCCACCACATTCCATCCTCTTATCACTTGTGTGATAATAATCATTACATTTTAAGGTAAGCAGTAGATTTGAGCTTCTATATCAAAATACATAATTATAATAAATCATAATAAAGGTTATACTTCTATTAACGGGAGTGAATCTAATTTTCATTCATAGTCATCATATTAAAGCTAAAATCTACAATCAAAGTAGTAAGTAAACAAAATCCATGCATAAAACCATAGACACTTTCAAACCCTTCGTTCTGGGTTGTACAATCCAACTTGTAAAACCATGGCTTAAGACCTTCGCTTCATACAGTTACACATATGCTTCATTACACAATTTCATTTATGGATTCTGGCCATGACATTTCAGCTGGAGCTTTTGTCGCGAGTGGCATGTTAATGACAGATCGGTATCTCAATGCATTTCTACTTTAAATTACTATAAATTTCGCAGTGTGCAGACCTCCACAATCAACCTGGGACTGCATGGCCAGGCACGACTCCAACACCATCATTAAGTTTGCCGATGACACAACAGTGGTAGGCCTGATCACCGACAATGATGAGACAGCCTATAGGGAGGAGGTCAGAGACCTGGCCGTGTGGTGCCAGGACAACAACCTCTCCCTCAACGTGATCAAGACAAAGGAGATGATTGTGGACTACAGGAAAAAGAAGAGGACTGAGCACGCCCTCATTCTCATCGACAGGGCTGTAGTGGAGCAGGTTGAGAGCTTCAAGTTCCTTGGTGTCCACATCATCAACAAACTAACATGGTCCAAGCACACCAAGACAGTTGTGAAGAGAGCACGACAAAACCTATTCCTGAAAATTTGGCATGGGTCCTCAGATTCTCAAAAGGTTCTACAGCTGCACCATCGAGAGAATCCTGACTGGTTGCATCACCGCCTGGTATGGCAACTGCTCGGCCTCCGACCGCAAGGCACTACAGAGGGTAGTGCGTACGGCCCAGTACATCACTGGGGCCAAGCTTCCTGCCATCCAGGACCTCTATACCAGGCGGTGTCAGAGGAAGCCCCTAAAAATGGTCAAAGACTCTAGCCACCCTAGTAATAGACTGTTCTCGCTGCTACCGCACGGCAAGCAGTTCCGGAGCGCCAAGTCTAGGTCCAAGAGGCTTCTAAACAGTTTCTACCCCCAAGCCATAAGACTCCTGAACGTCTAATCAAATGGCTACCCAGACTATTTGCATTGCCACCCCTCTTTTACGCTGCTGCTACTCTCTGTTTACTATCTATGCATAGTCACTTTAATAACTCTACCTACAAGTACATATTACCCCAATTACCTCGACTAGCCGGTGCCCCCGCACATTGACTCAGTACCGGTACCCCCTGTATATAGCCTCGCTATTGTTATTTTACTGCTGCTCTTTAATTATTTGTTACTTTTATTTCGTATTATTTTATATTGTATTTTTTTGTGATTTCTTTTGGTATTCTTTCTTAAAACTGCATTGTTGGTTAAGGGCTTGTAAGTAAGCATTTCACTGTAAGGTCTACACCTGTTGTATTCGGCGCATGTGACAAATAACATTAGATTTTATTTTATTTAAGGTCGAGATCATGCCCCCAGTAATGCGGTTATAGCACTTCTCTGAAAGATACTCATGATGTATGTGTAGTTTGTCGCGCCAAGACGTCTCTCAGTCCGTGTGCGCATTGCCACGTACTACGTATAAACTCCCTGGAAAGACGTGTAGCATTCTTGAAGGAGCTTGGAATTACCCGTACATCGGCTGGGACCGAGGTGCAGGAAGCAGAGATGGATTGGGTGGTCGGTGCAAATGTCTTGTCTGCCTGGGCATGGGGTATGCGGTGGATGCCTGCGCCTAACCCGGCTCCTGTGCGCTCTGTCGGGAGGCTACTCAAAAAGAGAGGGTGGCTAGGTTCGGTGGGTACCCCCCACTGCCTGTGCCTGTGTTACTTCTATTTATTTTTATTTTTTATTTAATGTTTTCTCTGTATTTTTTGTATTATTTTTAATACACCTGTTTTATTCGGCGCATGTGACAAATAACGTTTGATTTGATCTGATTTATTCTAAATGACTTCTTGTTATTATTATTATCCAGGCTCTGTCGTAGCCGGCCGCGACCGGGAGACCCATGGGGCGGCGCACAATTGGCCCAGCGTCGTCCAGGGTAGGGGAGGGAATGGCCGGCAGGGATGTAGCTCAGTTGGTAGAGCATGACGTTTGCAACGCCAGGGTTGTGGGTTCGATTCCCACGGGGGGTATAAAAAAAAGAATGTATGCACTCACTAACTGTAAGTCGCTCTGGATAAGAGTGTCTGCTAAATGACGTTAAATGTAAATGTAAATATTATCCAAAAATCAGCTTAATATCCACATTTCAATCATCTTAATACGTCCTTTCCACAATCACACAACTCTCACATCCACATTCACTTCGTATACTATTCCCAAACACACCCTGTAATCTCCCTTATTACCCCATGTGCATCTTTAACGATTCTCTATCTTTACTTCCTATGCACCATATGTATATTTCTATACATATAGAATAGCACCTCGTTACTTGCCCTCGCTCTAGTCTTGTCTCTAAGACTAGCTCTAGCCTTCTTCTGTCATATGTATCACCGCCAAGAGCAAGGGAGTGTGTGTGTGTGTGTGTGTCTGTGTCAATGAGGGACTGTATGTGTGTCTGTCATGTGTCCACCTAGTCAATAAGCACATTTACAATTCCGACAGACTGTTACGCATACAGACTAATGTCCAAAATCATGACTTTGTTATTGACGATCTGTATGTTACTAACTATCTACTTTTGAATAGAGCCCTAGACAGAGGATCATGTTAGTAGTATAATGACAAACATAGGACGCTGGTCAAAGGCAGTGCAATATAATGAGGAATAGGGTGTTATTTGAGGTTTGTCTTCCCCCCCCTTCACCTCTCTCTCTCTATCGTTATCTCACTCACTCACTTTCTCTCTCTCTCAATTCAATATACATTTTGGACATGGAAAGTTAAAGCACTTACATTGTCATAGTAAACACAAGTAATAATAACACACTCTCTCTCCCTAGTTGGTGTCAGCAGATGGTTCTCACGGGGGTTCCGATGGGGGCTCTATGTGTGCAGACAGCCAGGCAGAGCTGCCACTCCCTTTGGAGAGGACCGGCGGCATCGGAAACTCAAGACCCCCCTCTTTCCAGTCAGTATCTGCAAAGTGGTGTGTGCATGCGTGTGTGTGAGTGCGTGTGTGACTCAAGTTGATCCATCTGGCATAGAGATGGGTATATACTAGTGACAGTCCAAAGTCTATGCCTTTGACTGTCAGGGGTCGCTAAACTCCTGCTCTCCCTGTATTTTCTGTACCAGAGGTAGAGACCACTGTCCTCTTGCCAGGCCACTGTTATATGGGCACTGGTCAAAAGTATTGCACTATATATGGAATAGGGTGCCATTTGGGATGCATCCCGGTCTTTAGTCCTACCACAGAGACAGCTGGGAAGTATATACCTATTTGTGAAGACTGTGCGACTGGTGATGTGACACCCCACTGTCTTTCTCCCATTTACACTGTTGCTCTTTCTTTCTCACACACGTTGTTCTTCTATCCTCATTTGGATGTAAAATACAAAATTGAAAATCCTATTTTCCCTAGCCCCTAAACCTAACCCTAACCACTAACCCCTTACCCCTTACCCTAACCCTAATTGTAACCCTAACCCCTAAGCTTAAAATAGTCTTTGCCCCCCCCCCCCCCCCCCCCCAAATAATTGATTCCCATCCAAAATCCTATTTTCCCTAACCTCTAACCCTAAATCTAAATCTAAGCCTAACCTTAACCCCAAACCCTAACCCTAATCTATACCTAACCCTAACCCTAATTGTAACCCTAAACCTGACCCCTAAGCCTAAAATAGCATTTGTCCTCTTGAGGATCTGCAAAATCTCCCCACTTGTCAGAATTGTCATTGTTTTACTATCCTTGTGAGGACTTCTGGTACCCACAAGGATGGTTAAACAAAAACACAGTCACACCACACACACACACACACACACACACACACACTAATAGCTAGTGACCAGGCTCCATTGACTTTAAACCTAATCGACCTTCCCAGCCATCTAATCAGACAATCAATGTTTCTCAGTGCTTATATTGATCATTATGGTGTGGAAGTGGCCTTGGCTTAGCTATGGTGAGGTGTATAATTAAATACTTACTGTGTGTGTGTGTATGTATGTATGTGTGTGATTTCTTTGTATTCATTTTGTATTTTATCCAAATCAAATCTAGTATCTGTCTGTCTGTGTCTCTCTCTGCCTACCCCATGGGAACTCGGCGTCAATATTAAATCAGCCAGCTGGGCAGGTCTTTATCGCACAAACACAAACACACAGACAGGCGCTCACGTTCTCTTTGTAGCTAGCTCCCGGCATGCTCTGGTGAGGCTGACATTAAAACACACTGACATTCTGATAGCAGCACTTGACACTTAAAGGCCCGTCTGGAACTTGCTGGTGTGTCCTGTCAAACAGTTGTGTGTAGAAGAAGGGAAAAGAGACAAATCTTTGTGAAATATAATCCCTTCTTTTTGAATTCATTTTCTCTTTTACTCCTCCTTTGACTTTTTTTCCCACCTGTCCGTCAGTGCTAATGCTGCTGGCAGTCAGGACAACCTGGACAACGAGACAGAGACGGAGTCGGTCGTGTCGCTACGGAGAGAGAGGGTGTGGGAGAGAGACCGGGGCAGGGAGAGAGAGAGGCCGCGAAGGAAAGATAAAGATATTCATGACCATGGTAAGACTTGGTGTCTGTCCATCTGCCTTCATTCCTCATTCCTGAGTCGATGCAATAGAAAGTTCGCTGGCTGATAAAATAAAGTCGAGACAAGTTGGAATGTTCACATGCTCATTGAAAATGACTGTATCAAACAACAATGGAACATTCTTTTGGGTGGATCTCATCTTTAAAACCATGGGATATGGTACATTTTTGCTATCACATCTAAAGATTTAACTAGACTGACTCATCATTGAAACAACAATGTTACAAATAGCAGAACTACATATTTGTTTTAGGGAAATTGGTCATACTGGGAAATAATAGAGGAGGCCAAGTCCCCCCCAATTAGAATTCAGGACCTTCCTTCTGGGATAAAGCAAACAAAAAAAAATTGGGGGAAAAATATTAATTGACTGTTACCAAGTCAATAATTATCTGGGCACAACTTGTAATTTTCATGAGTTATCTCCTATTTGGAATAACATTTATTTTTTCATCTTCCCTTTATATTCCCTCCTTTTTCTATTTTTAAGGATATCTTCAACCTGCAAGGGCTTCGTTCCTTTCAAGATCTGAAAATCATATTTTCTCCCTGGTTCTTCCTGGGTTTTTTTTTCCATCTCGGACTCCGTACAGTGTTGAAAACTTACGGGGTACCATAGGACACCACACCAGGCTCCCACTCTTTATTTAAATAGTTTTCATGTCCAGGGAAAGCCGGAATGGTGTCCTTACTATATGATAGGTTAGTGACTCATAATATAAAAAATTGACAGTTTATGGAGGTCAGGGAGAATGACATACAAAGTGCTGGGTTTGAATAAGAATTGACCACAGTATGCGGCAATATTTTTGCCTCTTCTAAGAGCCTCGCCCATCAACTTATTCATTTTAAATTTTACCACGGAGCAAAGTTCGGGTGGGCAATTATATGCATATGTTTTGGAGCTCTGTATTGGTGAAGTCTCTTTGGGTTCATGTTGTTAATATTTTAAATGTTATTCTTGGCAGGAGCCTACCTGTTTGCCCATCCCTCCTCCTTTTGGGTTGTAGCCCTAGCATTTCGTTATCTAATCAAGAGAGGCGGATTGTTATGGCTGCAATAACAGCAGGCAAAATGGTCAATGGGTGAACCTCAAAAGTTTTTCCTTGATTCCTTGCATCCTCTCTCCTCGCCTCCTTATCAAAATGTCAGAGGGGGGCGAGGTCTTCTCCTCCAATGCTCTGTACACTTCACTCTGACACTGAGAAGGAGGCGAAGAGAGAGGATGTGAGAAATAAAATTAAAATTATTCTGAACCTAGAGCAGAGCCAAGCCAAGCTATACTGAGCTGGCCTGGTTACACAACCACCATAGTTGAACCGTGCTGAAAAGAAAATATCGGAACCAGCAGTTTGGTTCGGGTTGGCACATAGTGTGAAAAAGGTAATTATGTACTGTATGACATCATTGATTTTATTAATTGATTATTATTCATATTCTTATTAGGGCACACCATAGCAAAACATTTAGCTTACCAAAAAAAATTATTTGTGCGTTTCTTATTGGACAAGTCCAGGTACTCCCTTCCTATTTCATTCAGTTTTCTTCCATTTGGTGCCTACTGAATAATACCAGGTTGACCTCTCTTCCGCTTGCTCTCCTCAGGTGGCAGATTGAATGGTCACACGCGTCCAGAGCGGGAGCCGCGGCGACCGTTGCTGGCGGGCTACGAGAGCTCGTCAACGCTGATGAGTTCTGAGCTGGAGATGACAAGCTTCTTCGACTCTGAAGACGATGACGCATCCAGTCGGTGAGCACCACACACAAACACTGATGAATCAACAAAATATGGCTTTTAATTATCTCAAAAGGGGACTAAATATCCCCAAACGTGGCAAATCAATTACCGCCACGATAAATGAAAAATGTTGGGTTGTATTTTGAGTGGAACATCCCTTTAACACGAAGAGATCACCTCAAGGTTGTTCATTGCTGCCAATGTTGGTTGCAATAGGCCCTGAAGGGTTAGAGCCAAGGGGAAGCGGTGGGGAGGGAATTGACTACTCATTCATTTACACTCACCACTCACATGCATGTACCCAAGACACTTAAGATGTGTCATCTCAAATGACAGCATTACATAAAACACTTGACCACCTTGCACATCCACTTGACATATACACTCTACGTGATCGCTATCTAGTCTTATTAAAGCTCCCACAAATCATATGCTCTAGAAAAACCCCACAAAAGACTGTTGCTTTTCTCTTTCAGCTCAATGGCCACATCTATGATTGGCTCAAATGGATGCAGTCACATGTGGCCATTTAACCACTGGCAGATGAGTGTGCATTGTGTGTCATGACACCGGAATGAGTTGTGTCACCGCTGTGATGTCATCACCCACAGGTTCAGTGACTCCACGGAGCAGAGCACGTTGTCGAGGCTCGTGAGACGACATCGTTGGCGACGGCGGAAACCCAAAGTGCCACAGATGGAGAGGGTAAGACACACACACACACACACACATAGAAAGAAACACGCTCACACACTTCACAGATGTACATTTTGCTTTGTGTTCAGTGGTCCTTGTGCATGTCCTCACCTCTGTCTCTGTCAATCATTCCTCTACTCCGCCCTCTCTTTCTGTCCAGTCGTCCTCTTTCAGCAGCGTCACAGATTCCACCATGTCACTGAACATCATCACTGTCACTTTAAATATGGGTGAGTAGCACAGTTTGACTATATATGTGTAATGTATATACGTTTATGTCTATATGATGTTATTTTATACATCTTTGGTGACTTATGGATTGATTTAAAAGATTCAAAGACCACCCACTGGGCACAGACGTCAATTCAACATCTAATTTTGATTTACGTTTGGTTGAGTTGTCAACTCCATGAATTCAACCTAAAATCAACAAAACATTTCACCATGTCATTGGATTTAGGTTAAAAGTTGGGTGAAAAATTGATTAAATGCCCTTACGTTGATGACTTTTTTCAAATCCAATTAGTTTTCCACGTTGTTTCAACGTCATCACATTGTTTTTGGGGGTTGAAATGACGTGGAAACAATGTTGATTCAACCAGTAGATCAGAAGTCCTTCGAGACGTTTTGTGAATACGAGACCAGAGGCCAGACTTCTCCTTCACTATGTAGGGAAGGTATCCTTTTTTTGTTCAACACTCTTTCTTTCTCGTCATTACTCTTCCTTCCTCCTCTCCTCCTCCCTCCTTCCATGCAGAGAAGTATAACTTCCTGGGCATCAGTATTGTGGGTCAGAGTAATGAGAAAGGAGATGGAGGAATCTATATCGGCTCTATCATGAAGGGAGGGGCGGTGGCCGCTGACGGACGCATCGAGCCTGGAGACATGCTCCTGCATATGTTTGTTAAGAGTGTGTATGTTTAACAGTGGTGGAAAAAGTACCCAATTGTCATACTTGAGTAAAAGTAAAGATACCTTAATAGAAAATGTAAAATTGAAAAATTGAAAGTCACCCAGTAAAATACTACTTAAGTATCACAAGTAAATGTAATTGCTAAAATATATTGAAGTATCAAAAGTAAAGTATAAATCATTTCAAATTCCTTATATTAAGCAAACCAGATGGCACAATGTTCTTGTTTTTTAAATTATAGATAGCCAGGGGTACACTCCAGCACTCAGACATAATTTACAAACAAAGCATTTGTGTTTAGTGAGTCCGCCAGATCAGAGGCAGTAGGGATGACGAGTGATGTTCTCTGTGGGGCCCCTTGTAGCTCAGTTGGTAGAGCATGGCGCTTGCAACGCCAGGGTTGTGGGTTCGATTCCCACGGGGTCCCAGTATGAAAATGTATGCACTCACTAACTGTAAGTCGCTCTGGATAAGAGCGTCTGCTAAATGACTAAAATCTTTTAAAAAATCTAAAATCTCTTGATAAGTGTGTGAATTGGACCATTTTCCTGTCCTGCTAAGCATTCAAAATGTAACAAGTACTTTTGGGTGTCAGGGAAAATGTATGGAGTAAAAAGTACATTGTTTTCTTTAGGAGTGAAGTAAAAGTAAAAGTAACAACAAAAAAAAATAGTAAAGTACAGATACCCCAAAAAACTACTTAAGTAGTACTTTAAAGTATTTTTACTTAAGTACTTTATTCCACTGGCGTTTAAGTGGCAAGAAAGTGAGAATAAGAAGGATGGTTTGAGGTCTTTAATTGGACTTGGTTGGTAGGATTTCCTGCTTTCTTTCTCGCCCTTTTCTACACCCCCCCCATCTCTCATTCCCTCTCTTTTCCAGGTGAACGACATCAACTTTGAGAACATGAGCAACGATGATGCAGTAAGAGTACTGAGGGAGATTGTGCATAAGCCAGGGTAAGGAGCAGTCTCTCACACACACACACTGAAACCTACACGCTGATACGTGCTGAGGATCACAAATTGCTTCTGGTGTGTTTGTGTGTATGTGTTATAAACAGTGAGTTAACTGAGTGTCTGCTGTGTGTAATTGTTGACAGCCCTATTACTCTGACTGTGGCTAAGTGCTGGGATCCTAACCCTCGAGGATGCTTCACACTACCGAGAAGTGAGTACTCACACACAACATCATGTAATTAGACTTAATGACTTGGTAAACACTTCCTCAGATGGATATCTTTTCCTCTTGGGAAGATCAATTGTCACCTCTAAGATTTGACATTCTTTCATTTGCTTTCATGGGGAGAAATCAATGTAAATGTGTTTTAGCATTACTTACAGTCTTCAAGCTAGATCATGTTCCACAGAGACGATACACCCCTTTCTCTGTGTAGGTGAGCCGATCCGTCCCATAGACCCTGCTGCCTGGGTGTCCTACACTGCAGCAATGACGGGGGTGTACCCAGTGTACGGTATGAGCCCTTCTATGAGCACAATCACCTCCACCAGCTCTTCCATCACAAGCTCCATCCCTGAGACTGAGCGTAAGTCACCCCTCCCATTCCCTCTCCACCCTCCCCAGCGGGCAAAAGTTGTCATGGGACAACCTAAAGTTTGTGGTCGAAATGTGGTTGTGACGTCAGATAACCAGATTACAACCAGGTGAAAAAGTAATTTTCACAACGACATCGATACCTGATGGAAAAAAAACACATTTTGGTTGTTTTCTGGTCGAAGCAACGTCAAGATTACCATCAGGCAAAGATGTATTTTTCTGTTCTCTAAAAAGACATGTAGAAAAACGTGTCCTATTTTAGTCAGTATAACCTGTTATGATGTCATTTCAACCAGTTTTGCCCTGTTTTGCCTGCTGGGTTGTTTCACTACTGCAGCTATCTGACTGTTGGTCTCTTTCCTTCTTTCCCATCCAGGGTTCGATTACTTTCATCTATCCACTCACAGCGACATGGCAACAATTGCCAAAGCAATGGCCAATCCAGAGTCTGGCCTGGAAGTGCGAGACAGGATGTGGCTCAAGATCACAATCCCCTCCGCCTTCATAGGTATTCTTTCTCTCTTTACTCTCTTCTGTCTGTATTGTCTCGCTTTCATAGGGACTATTGTTAAGGTCTCTCTCACCCTCTCCAACTGGCTGTCTGTCTGTCTCTGTCTCAGGCTCGGACGTGGTGGACTGGCTCTACCATCACGTAGAGGGCTTCACTGACCGCCGTGAGGCCAGGAAGTACGCCAGCAACCTGCTGAAGGCCGGCTGTATCCGGCACACCGTCAACAAGATCACCTTCTCCGAGCAGTGCTACTACATCTTCGGAGACCTCTGTGGCAGTGAGTCCTATTATCTCTTTCTCTTCAACAAGATAGGTTTCTTTATGCGCATGACTCTTCACTTCTCCTTTACTCTTTCTTCTTTAACAACATATTTGTTAAAGCCATATCTCCTACTTTCTCTCGTCTTCTCCACTCTCTCCCTTCCCCTCCTCCCATTTTCTCCCCTGCCATCTCTCTCAGATATGGCTAACCTCTCCCTGGGAGACCACGAAGGGTCGAGTGGGGCGTCCGACCAGGACACCCTTGCTCACCTGCCCCACCCTGGGGCTGCCCCCTGGCCCCTGGCCTTCCCCTACCAGTACCCTATCCCACACCCCTACAACCCACACCCTCTGCACGAGCCCCCCCGAAGCCAACCTGGAGGGGGGGACAGTGCGGGCAGCCAGCACAGCGAAGGTAAGATGCTCCGGTACACATAAACATAAGCGCGAACTAACGGAGAGACACACGCAGAACTGAAAGGCAAACCGAATGACTGGACTGACATACACACATTAATACCCTGTGGAGACTATAAACCTGTAACTCTCAACCTCTCTCCCTTTCTCTCTCTCTCCTTTGCAGGGAGTCGTAGCAGCGGGTCCAACCGCAGTGGCAGTAAGAAGGAAGTGGCTGCTGGGGGGGCAGGCGGTGGCGAGTCCAAGTCGACAGGAAGCGGCAGCGAATCGGAGCTGAGGAGGGAGAAGGCCCCCAGTGAGCGCTTAGTGGCGGCGCCCCCTAGTGAGCACAGCATGCACAGCACGTACAGCATGGCCCAAAGTGTCAACAGCACCCACTCCCACAGAGGTAGCCTGGTGTACGGACCCCCCGGCCTGCCGGCCCAGCCCCCGCCCTCCCTCCCCACCACGGCCCCCCCTGGGTCGACCCCGGGCCGAGACCTAGCCTCCGTGCCCCCCGAACTCACCGCCTCACGCCAATCGTTCCACATGGCCATGGGCAACCCCAGCGAGTTCTTTGTCGATGTCATGTGATGTGTGCGTTAGGTGATCCAGAGGGCGGATCCTCACTGCAGCTGTTCAGAACTTACTGTTACGGAGAGAAATAAGGTGGTGGTGGAGGAGGAGGAAAGGAGATAGAGGCTAAGAGAAAGACAGGTGGTGCTGAGAGGAACGTGGGTGTAACTGCATAGCTCTCCTTCTGTCTGTCTGTCCCCAGTCCTATGGCACCTGTACTTTCTTCAGTGAAGAACATCGGAGTAGATTTGTTATGCAGCTCTCTCTCCTTGATCCCAATTAAATATACTATTTTGTTAATATGTTATTTTCCACATCAGTTTGTGTGTATATGAGTCAGTCAATATGTGGTTGGAATTGAATGTTTTCTTTTTGTCACTTTCTCCCTTTTCCTCTACATGGCCTGTATCCCCACTCAACTGTGATTGAATCTCTGTGGACCCTCCATTGGAACCCCTCTTTAAAAGTCAACACAGTCCATTCTAGATGGGAGGAGGCTCAGAGAGAGAGAGAGACTGTGGACCATAGAGATCCTATTAAATTACTATTCGAAAAAAATATATATAAATATATTTCTTATTCTATACTGTGGACAGGGTCGTGTAATGGTTTTAAAACGTTTAGCAACTGGAAACGAAAATGAGCATTTCTTATTGGAGAAATATGTTCAAGTATTCCCTCCGTTTGTCTATTTTATTCCGTTTGGTGCCTAATGAACATGACCCAGGTCCCAGGACTGTGTTAAGGATGTTGGTGTTTCTCTCTGTGAGTCTTCTCTGCGCTGCAGTGGGGCGAAACGGAATGTTAACTCAAATGAACGTCTGAAAGAAAACATAGAAAATAAAACTGTCTGTTCTTTTTGTATCTTTCCATATTGAGTTTCTCCTCAAAAGCTATCTGTAGACAGGGAGAGAGATGGAGAAGGGTAGCGAGCATAGATGAAAAGGAATTAAGAGGGATAGACATGTTTCAACATTATTTTGAGAACTGATCACGTTTCTGTCCAAATTCCAATCAAAGCGAATATGTACTGCAGGTCGCGAACTAGTCGGCTACAAGCCCATGCATATAGATATACATTTGTTAGGTCTATCATATCTGACAGATGTAATGGTACTTCTCGTGGTCCTCTGTAGCTCAGCTGGTAGAGCACGGCGCTTGTAACGCCAAGGTAGTGGGTTCGATCCCCGGGCCCACCCATACACCAAAAAAAGTAATAAATGTATGCACACATGACTAAGTCGCTTTGGATAAAAGCGTCTGCTAAATGGCTTATTATTATCATTGCTGTACACTCAGTAGCAGCCATGTTAATTACAGTTGAAGTCGGAAGTTTACATACACCTTAGCCAAATACATTTAAACTCAGTTGTTTACAATTCCTGACATTTAATCCTAGTAAAGATTCCCTGTCTTAGGTCAGTTAGGATCACCACTTTATTTTAAGAATGTGAAATGTCAGAATAATAGTAGAGAGAATGATTTATTTCAGCTTTTATTTCTTTCATCACATTCCCGGTGGGTCAGAAGTTTACATACACTCAATTAGTATTTGGTAGCATTGCCTTTAAATTGTTTAACTTGGGTCAAACGTTTCGGGTAGCCTTCCACAAGCTTTCCACAATAAGTTGGGTGAATTTTGGCCCATTCCTCCTGACGTAGCTGGTGTAACTGAGTCAGGTTTGTAGGCCTCCTTGCTCGCACACACTTTTTCAGTTCTGCCCACAAATTTTCTATAGGATTGAGGTCAGGGCTTTGTGATGGCCACTCCAATACCTTGACTTTGTTGTCCTTAAGACATTTTGCCACAACTTTGGAAGTATGCTTGGGGTCATTGTCCATTTGGAAGACCCATTTGCGACCAAGCTTTAACTTCCTGACTGATGTCTTGAGATGTTGCTTCAATATATCCACATAATTTTCCTTCCTCATGATGCCATTTATTTTGTGAAGTGCACCAGTCCCTCCTGCAGCAAAGCACCCCCACAGCATGATGCTGCCACTCCCATGCTTCACGGTTGGGATGGTATTCTTTGGCTTGCAAGCAACCCCCTTTTTCCTCCAAACTTAACAATGGTCATTATGGCCAAACAGTTCTATTTTTGTTTCATCAGACCAGAGATTTTGTACGTTTGCCCACTGACAAAGACATGATCAGTCTATAATTTTAATGGTAGGTTTATTTGAACAGTGGGAGACAGAATAGCAAAATCCAGAAAAACGCATGTCAAAAATGTTATAAATTGATTTGCATTTTAATGAGGGAAATAAGTATTTGACCCCTCTGCAAAACATGACTTAGTACTTGGTGGCAAAACCCTTGTTGGCAAACACAGAGGTCAGACGTTTCTTGTAGTTGGCCACCAGGTTTGCACACATCTCAGGAGGGATTTTGTTCCACTCCTCTTTGCAGATCTTCTCCAAGTCATTAAGGATTCGAGGCTGACGTTTGGCAACTCGAACCTTGAGCTCCCTCCACATATTTTCTATGGGATTAAGGTCTGGAGACTGGCTAGGCCACTCCAGGACCTTAATGTGCTTCTTCTTGAGCCACTCCTTTGTGCCTTGGCCGTGTGTCATCGTCCCTTTGATGCTGTGAAGTTGTCCTGTCCCCTTAGCAGAAAAACACCCCCAAAGCATAACGTTTCCACCTCCATGTTTGACGGTGGGGATGGTGTTCTTGGGGTCAAAGGCAGCATTCCTCCTCCTCCAAACACGGCGAGTTGAGTTGATGCCAAAGAGCTCGATTTTGGTCTCATCTGACCACAACACTTTCACCCAGTTCTCCTCTGAATCATTCAGATGTTAATTGGCAAACTTCAGACAGCCCTGTATATGTGCTTTCTTGAGCAGGGGGACCTTGTGGGCGCTGCAGGATTTCAGTCCTTCACGGCGTAGTGTGTTACCAATTGTTTTCTTGGTGACTATGGTCCCAGGTGCCTTGAGATCATTGACAAGATCCTCCCGTGTAGTTCTGGGCTGAATCCTCACCGTTCTCATGATCATTGCAACTCTATGAGGTGAGATCTTGCATGGAGCCCCAGGCCGAGGGAGATTGACAGTTCTTTTGTGTTTTTTCCATTTGCGAATAATCGCACCAACTGTTGTCACCTTCTCACCAAGCTGCTTGGCGATGGTCTTGTAGCCCATTCCAGCCTTGTGTAGGTCTACAATCTTGTCCCTGCCATCCTTGGAGAGCTCTTTGGTCTTGGCCGTGGTGGAGAGTTTGGAATCTGATTGATTGATTGCTTCTGTGGACAGGTGTCTTTTATACAGGTAACAAGCTGAGATTAGGAGCACTCCCTTTAAGAGTGTGCTCCTAATCTCAGCTCGTTACCTGTATAAAAGACACCTGGGAGCCAGAAATCTTTCTGATTGAGAGGGGGTCAAATACTTATTTCCCTCATTAAAATGCAAATCAATTTATAACATTTTTGACATGCGTTTTTCTGGATTTTGTTGTTGTTATTCTGTCTCTCACTGTTCAAATAAACCTACCATTAAAATTATAGACTGATAATTTCTTTGTCAGTGGGCAAACGTACAAAATCAGCAGGGGATCAAATACTTTTTTCCTTCACTGTATTTCTCCAAAAAGTACAATCTTTGTCCCCATGTGCAGTTGCAAACCGTAGTCTGGCTTTTTTATGGCGGTTTTGGAGCAGTGGCTTCTTCCTTGCTGAGCGGCCTTTCAGGTTATGTCGATATAGGACTCGTTTTACTGTGGATATAGATACTTTTGTACCTGTTTCCTCCAGCATCTTCACAAGGTCCTTTGCTGTTGTTCTGGGATTGATTTTCACCTTTCGCACCAAAGTACGTTAATCTCTAGGAGACAGAACGCGTCTCCTTCCTGAGCGTTATGACGGCTGCGTGGTCCCATGGTGTTTATACTTGCGTACTATTGTTTGTACAGATGAACGTGATACCTTGAGGCATTTGGAAATTGCTCCCAAGGATGAACCAGACTTGTGGAGGTCTACAATATTCTTTCTGAGGTCTTGGCTGATTTCTTTTGATTTTCCCATGATGTCAAGCAAAGAGGCACTGAGTTTGAAGGTAGGCCTTGAAATACATCCACAGGTACACCTCCAATTGACTCAAATGATGTCAATTAGCCTATCAGAAGCTTCTAAAGCCATGACATCATTTTCTGGAATTTTCCAAGCTGTTTAAAGGCACAGTCAACTTAGTGCATGTAAACTTCTGACCCACTAGAATTGTGATACAGTGAATTATAAGTGAAATAATCTGTCTGTAAACAATTGTTGGAAAAATTACTTGTGTCATGCACAAAGTAGATGTCCTAACCGACTTGCCAAAACGATAGTTTGTTAACAAGAAATTTGTGGAGTGGTTGAACAACGAGTTTTAATGACTCCAACCTATGTGTATGTAAACTTCCGACTTCAACTGTATGATCATAATCTCAGATAACGCTCTAACTAATCAGTGCAATCAATACTGGAAGATGAAGAGTATACAAGCTGAACCTTGCACCAATATATTACACGACACCAGGGTTGGAGTCAATTCCATTTCAATTCAGCAAGTAAACTGAAATCAAATCTCCTCTATGAGGAAGAAATGGGAATTGGAATTTCAATTTACTTCCTGAATTGACCCCATCACCCCAACACTGCATGACACAGGGACATTTTGTGACATCCAGCATTTTAGTAAAGGAAAGTTGAGAAGCCTTATGTTGCCCCCATCTCTTTCTCCATATCTCTCAGTACATTACAATATGTTAGTCTTTTTCATCATTAACATCAACATTCTGTATAATTTACTGTATTAACGTCTCCTACCTTGTAAACCTTTAATTTCTCATGCGAAAAACATTTTTATTTTTATTTATAAACATAGTTTTATTGCCTAAACAAGAACATGTTGTGTGGTTTGTCATTTCTGGAGGTAATGTTACTACGCTGCTGGTGTTTCATATTTTGTGGTTAACATTCAGGCTGTGTCCCAAATGGCAGTCCATTCCCTATATAGTGCACTACTTTGACCTG